GGGGGGGTGGATGATTATAGAAGATGAATGAATTGATGGATGGATGGGGGGGTGGATGATTATAGAAGATGAATGAATGAATGATTATAGAAGCTGCTCAGCCAGAGAAACACAGGATGGTACCTGGTCAGCTGTGGCAAAATCCTTTGCCTAGTGTTGAAATGTCTCTAGAGCAACAGGGATGGCCGCCCCCACCTGCCCCACATGAGCGTCTGGCGTTTCCTTACCTCCTGCCATCTGACGCCAGCACTGCTGGAAACGTAGACATTCATTTTACTTGCCATGTTCTTCCCCACAGAACCTACAAAGAGAAACACGTTGATCTCAGAGCGATTCTTTCAATGCCTCAAGACCAGGCGTGTTCAACTCGATTTCACTGAGGGCTGCATCAGGGTTGTATTTGACCTCGGGGGGGTGGGGGTGGGGGTGGAGTGGATGTGGCCAGGGTGGGCATGGCCAGCTCGACATCACTCGTGTTGCAGACCTCCCAAAAACGACCCATTTTTTTGTGAAAACGGGCCCGTATTTTGTCACAAAAAGGGCATGCATAGCCTTTAGGAGACTTGTAGAGTGTTCCTGGGGGCTGGGTGGTCCAAAAACTAGCAAAAAACAGCCCATTTTCCATGAAAACAGGCCCAATTTTTGTCAAAAAAAATGGCATGCATAGCCTTTAAGAGGCTTATAGACTGGAGGCTGGAGGGGGGCAAAAACGAGCAAAAAACAACCCATTTTTTGCTCATTTTTACCCTCCCCAGCCCCCGGGAGCACTCTGGAAGCCTCCTAAAGGCTATGCACGGCCATTTTTGCAAAGGAGGCGGGGTTTTGTGAGGCAAAAAATGCTGCATACAGTGTATAAGACGCACCAAGATTTTCACCCTCTTTTTTCAGGTAAAAAGGTGCGTCTTATACTCCAAAAAGTACGGTAATTGGGCTTCGACCATTGACCAACCAGAATTTAAGGAGAGGAGAACAAAGAGGATTGAAGCAAAGCAAGCCAAAAAAAAAAGAGATCTACCTGTTGCAATGATCAATCCCGGAGCGGATTCCTTGGATAGGATAGGCATTCTGCGCAACTGGAAATTGAGGAGCTGGCTGAGTCTTTGGGCCAAATGAAGAGAACATCCCAAAGAAAGCTAGGGAAGAAGAAACACACAGACGTCACATGCTTTGTCCTACCAAAAACATGATGCATTTAGCATTCTGGAATCTGGGAATCTCATTAAGAGCCCTCTATAAAAACCACACGTCGTTATGGTTGTCCCAAAGTTGCTTTTTTCAAGTGGACTTTCTGGTTTTTCTTTGAAGACGTTCCTCTTCTCATCCAAGAAGCTTCTACAGCTCTGTCTGGATGGAGGGGAATGGAAGGATTTATACTCTTTGCAGACAGCTGGTCATTTGCATCCTTTTAGAGGGTCGCTGAGGCCACTTGGAGGCTTATCTGTGTCCTCAGGGTCACTTGAGTGGTGCAAATGGGTGTGAAGCCTTCTTGGAACAATCTA